GAACTACTCCACCTAGACGCTTGCCACAGACAACAAGAACCCATACTTCTCTGTGAAATCGAAAAGGCACTCAAAACCAGCCCCAAGAACAAAACCCCAGGACCAGATGACATCACAGTGGAAGCCATAAGAGCTTGTGGAAACACTGGTGTACTGTGGCTGAGGCGAATTTTAAATAGAGCCTAGGAGCAAAGGAAATGCCCAGATGACTGGCAGAAAGCCATAGTGGTCCCATTATGGAAAAAGAAAGGCAACAAACGCGATTGCACAACATACAGAGGCATCTCTTTACTAAGCCACGCAGGGTATATGTACACAAAGATACTAGAACAGCGGATTAGACCTATTGTAGAGAGAAATCTGAGCTAAGCTCAGTTTGGATTCCGAAAGGGAAGATGATGCACGGATGCTGTATTTGCATTAAGACAGATATGCCAGAAAACAATCGAACTCAACAGAAAATCCAACATAGTTTTTATAGACATGGAGAAGGCTTTAAACCATGCAAAACTCTTGAAGACACTCAAAAAGTACGGCGTCATAGGACAAATTTTACATAATGTCAGAGCTCTATAGGGGGACTCTCGTGGCCTAGAGGTTAAGGTGTTGGCCTCTCATTCAAAGGTCCCGGGTTCGATTCCGGGTAGCGACCAAAAAATTTTCTTCTCTAAAATTGTCTCCTTTCACATCCTTTCCTCATCTCTAACAATGTTCTGTTGTCTGATTTCATTTCCACTTTCTGCCCCCACCCCCTCACCTCCTTTGCCCCCTCCTCTGGGCTCCTGACTCTTTCTGCAGCCTTTCTACTGCTACTCCTTGGCTCCTCCTAACTGCTGTCTTTCTGCCACACCCCTGATCTTCTGGTAGGAAAGATCTACACCTAGCCTTCTCGGACAAGGGCGAAAAATCTCGGAGGGCCCGTGTGCAAGTTGCGCACGTTAAAGATTCCTTGGTGGTCTAAAATCGATAAGAGTAGGCTTCGGCCGCCACCCGGGCAAAATTCAAAATTTCCTACCAACGAAAAAGTATTAGGTGTGTCCCGCGCGCTCATATGACCTTATGCAGTTGCGAGCGCCGTAAAACCCTATACTAAACAAACAAACAAGAGCTCTACATACCAATAGCAGAGGCTCAGTAAGAAAGAAGGAAGTCAATACAGACTGGTTCGAAGTAATATCTGGAGTACGACAGGGGTGCGTTCTATCTCCCCTCTTGTTTTTAATATAGGGACACAATAACGCAAGGCACAAACCAAAGCCCATAATGAACTTTTATTCGCAGACGACCAATGTCTTATTCATCTAAACCAAAATCACACTACCGAACTGACCAACAGCTGCGAGAAATTCAACATGAAAATTTGCGCATCAAACACAGAAGTTATGACAGTGTGCCGAAACTGTAGTCCCTTGAACATCCATGTCAATAGTAAACAACTGAAACAGTTAAAGGAGTTTAAATATCTTGGCAGTACTTTTTATCTGAAAACGGGTCCATATATATAGACAGAGACATAGAAATGTGAACTAAAAAAAAAAGCCAGCGCTGTCACCTACTAGCTCTCATCGCTCATATCTCATCCGAACATCTCCATAGACACATAGAGACAGCTTATCACCTCAATATTCATACCAACATTATTCTATCATTGCTAGACCTGGACATTAAGTAAAACCCATGAAAGCAAAATCACTGTCTGCGAAATGAAATGTCTCCGCAAAACATTTAACATCACAAGACGAGACAAGCAGAGCAGAGAAATGAAGAAGTAAGAGCAGCTATCGGCATTGAGTCCTGCCTTCACAACATAGAAAGACAGAGGATAAAATGGTTTGGCCACCTATTACATACGACCACCTGGTCAGCCAGTCCCGAGAGCCTACAATAACAAGCACTCAAGCTATAAAAGAAGAGGAAGGCCACGCAAAAGGTGGATCGAGGGTGTCAAGGAAATCCTGAGAAAACATAATAATATATCACATCTCCCCTCGACGCTTAACGGCAACGGAGGATGAAAAAGTAAAAGTAAGTAAGTTAAAGGTGCCCCCAAATTACGCAAAGGAAGCAGTGATTATTTGTTTATGTAGACGCTTCACCCCTGCTCAGTGCAAAATGACATGTTAGTGTTAGGATATCCTCTTTGCAACGCTGCAAAAGCGATACAATGATCATTGCTGTCAAGGCGTGGAATTCGCTTAGCACAGTTGC